GACCGCTCACACGCCCGAACGAAACGGTTTCTGTGTCTAGCCGTGAAGACACAGTGGCGTCAGTCCTGACGAAACTTGTCATTGCGATCTTCACCGACGGGATGTCGACCCTTCGGTCACGTGGTGCCGAAGTATAGGGAGGCCCTTCGGTATTGTCACAGTTGTATAAAATATTCCATTTTCATACAATATCATTAAATAGTAAATAATTAATTTTCAAGTTATATTTGAAAGACATAATTTTCAGGACATTAGTTTTTATGTCGGTTTGTAGAACAATGAAGTTCTGATTTCAAACAAAGGATTTATATAATCTGTGATATTTTTAAAACTAAAAATGATACATTGATAAATGTTATGTCGAATCGTACAGAACAAAATTTCAGATCGTTCTAGCTTAGTGCCAAGAACGAACTACACAACTGAAGAGTGTTAATTTTAACAAAATGTTACAAATTTTCACAGATAGATGTCAGTTCTGATATATGAAATTTTTTTTCTTTCGAATTTATTTTTTAATTTTATTTATAAATATCGTATTTAAAACTACAAATATTAGTAAATGTAATGTGACTTTTTCATATGAATATAACAACAACTTGATTTTTGGCAAATTTTTAAAATAATATAACCTGACTGACCTTGAATGACCTAAATGGCCCTTGGTCGTTAAGGGTAGTAAAATAAAGTACGGGGGCGGTACTCCTGGTGAACTAAGAGTTCCTTAAAAGATGTATTTTCAATTTAGAAACCAGAAGCTGAACATTTGTACGTATTGTATTTTTGTATTTGCAATTCTCTTTTGTTCTTCTACGCTTACGATAAACTTAAATTAAAAATAAGTTTGTAAAATTTTAATATACTTTTTTAATCATTTAAAAATTGACCCAAAAAAGCAAAATGTGCTGTTTTAAAGCGATTTATTGTAATCGAGTAAATATCTGCTCGAACAATGGCAGATTGCTTCAAAAAAGGCTTCAGATAGCTATGTCACGTAACATTACTTTAGACATACACTTTATTATAGCATCTACAGCGTTGCTGTTCGCTAAATGCCTCCACATATGTAAATTTTGTAAAGATCGATGCCGTGCAGGTTAATCCGAAATTGCTATAACATATAAGTCAACATTTCTATTTGAGTAACTTTCCAAGAATTATTTCAGTGAGGAAACAAGCAAAGGACAAAGTGTATCCTATAACGAGGATTCCAAGTGCACCGTATAAATCTGCTACGGATAAAGGTTTCGCCGCATCTTCAAAACTGGGAACATTAATAGCTGTTCGTTTTTTAAAAAGTTTTGTCTCAAATATTCTTCGTATTCTAGAAACACAAAAATAATTTGTAATGGTTTTGATGCTTTAAAATATTTGATCATTAGTAAATTATCAACTTACACTTTGTTAAATTGTTTTTTATACGGAAATCCTTTTCTCATGGCATATCCGCTATAAACTGTAGAAAGAACTTCATCAGATTTCACATAGTTTGATCCATAAGCAGCTACAACAAGATTTTCAACGTAAGGAGTTCCGATAACCACCATTCGATCTTTTATAATCATGTCGTATAACAATTTATTCAAAAAAGCTGTCATTTTAGCATGATTTTTATTTTTAGTATCTATTACTCCTATGTAATACTTTTTCGCGAAACTAGCTTTTTGTGTTGTTACTTTTGAACTCATATCGTCAATATGTTTTACGCTTTCTTTGATGAAAAGTTCTGCGTGTTTTATTCCTGACTCCTACAAACAAGGAAAACAAATCTCATTAATTAATATTCTTTGAAAATCGAAATTTCTACAAATTAGGAAATACGGGGTGGTTAGACTTAAATTAACGTTATTCAGACATGCGTAGAGCCCGCTCCACTAAACAAAAACGAACAAAACTCGGTACACATGAATGCAATTTGTCAGGAAGAGATTTAAAAATATAAAAATTTATTTGAAATTTTTACCACCAAGGGAGATGTGGCGCTGCAAAGATGACACTTTTAAGACAAGTGGACAACATTTTTTTATAAGAATAACGTTAGTTTGAACTATCTAATTTTACTTTTCGGAAAGAATATGAAGACATGTCCTACTATGCTGTTCTTCACCACCGATAAGGTGTGCACACGCTCCGCTTAACACAATCTTTTAAATAAATTTAGGGCCATAAACATACGCTTTCGATCGAATTCGTCCACATTTTCTCCTGATGGTGAAAATTTCAATTAATTTTCACACCTAATCCTCTTCCTTGCGATCCGGATTGCGTGTCTACCATGTTTCATTCAGTTCGGTTCAACAGAGACTGAGAAGTATTAGTTTAATTCTAACCACCCTGTAGATTTATCTTCATCTTACAAAGGCTAAACGTGACAAAATATAATGTTCACATTGTTTACAACGTATAACAATCGCAATTCGAATAATTTCAATTTGAAAATTTTATAATTTTACGTTAAAAATTCTTATCTGATAATAATTACATTCAGTTTTCTTTTAAATTTCTAGTAAAAGAACCACATAATATGATAGAAGACAAGAAGACATCCTTTTTTAATAATTTATACTCAAATAGTATTCAATTGCACATAAACATAATACTTTACTAATAGAATACTTAAAATAAAAATAATTCTTTTTGTGTGTCAGGAATCAGCAATAAAANTATAATACGAGTAATTATTTATTGTGACGTAATCACAATACCGGACTGCAAATTTTAATCATATTTGAAATGTTTAATCAATTTAAAATATATTCTCTCCACTTGAAATTCGTAGTGTCTTTCCCTTGTACATAGGCTTAATACTTTTCCTGTTATCAAGCTCCAGTACAATATATTTTTCCTGTTAGCAACAGTCACGCCATTGTTTATTTAATTCTTTACAGGGGAAAACTTTGAGTAAAATAATATGATTTTGCATCGCAAGATCATATACCGTAAATCCGGACCTCCTTTCCCAAACGCGTCCTTATCGAGTCTCGGATTTAATCTATCTATCTACATTCTCGAGATTAAGGAAAGAAAGACAGACAGACAAACAGACAAACAGAGAAAAGTGGGAATTTACAAGTCAACAATATTTTAACTGTAGCACAATAAATAAAAATTGTCAGAACATATATGACATTTACAGAAAAATATATTTTCTTTGACTATACTACATAGATGAGTCTTAGTCCATTTTTTCTCCTTTCACACGCTATACGAGGCAATAACAATTCCATCGGCAAAGTCGACCTTTTTTTGTAGGCTACCATTCACCTCGTGTAGAGGGTGAAAGGAAAAAAATTAGACTAAGACTCATCTATGTAGTATAGTCACAATAAATATATTCTTCTGTAAACGTAGCACAATATATTTATATCAATCAAAATAAACAATGCAAAACTGAAATATTAGAACATTTAAAGTACTCATTTACATTTAAGTATCGATTTAAGTAAACATGTGGAAGCAGTACACATGTATATTCTCGTCTTTTAATGGCTCTTGCTAATTCGTCGAATGAGTTAGGAACCGGTTCGTCAGTCTGTACGGCCATAAATGACGTCAATGTTCCGGCGTAACCCCAGATCAAGACTGCTGTCATGAGCAACCAGATGCCAAATGCTATTCTAGAAGATGAACGATTCACGTTGTTGCAGTCGACTCCTGAAAATTAACGTCAAAGATTATAATTCAATATTATAAATTAGAAAACAGTGTATATTGTGTAGACTTACCTTGAAACATTAACGTTGTCATCAGATACCAGTACGTTCTCCTTAAAGTCCATGGTTCCCCTTTATTGTCTTTCACGAATTTTCGGAATATTAATCCAAAGACTATAATGGTAAACATGAAGGCCAACCAAACCTTTCACGGAACAATAAAAAAAAGTATATAATACGTTTTAGAGAAAGTAATTTTCCACCGGATTTAAGAAATTCTACATGACTTATCAAAAAATTGCTACCTGTTTTGTGAACGGGTTCAGAACTGATTGCCAAGTCAGTTTCTTTTTGTGCCGCTTCATATAGAAATGAATTGGCTGGACGTCCGAGACTATTGAGAAGTCCAAACGTTGAAATGTCTTGTGAGAGAGTGCAATAACACTTGTCACAATATCTGCAAACTACATTGTGACAAAATAATAAACTTCGACATTTTTTTTCGTTATTTGATCATGTACACCATCGAACTTCCGGAAATTGTTGGTATATATATTTTTTTAATCCGGAAGAAATTACTAGAGAGAACTTGCAATTCTCTCGGCACCAGACTAGTTAATTAAGCAGCCACATTTGGCGCTGTATGTAGGGAGAATAAACGTAAACTCAGTCCTTATCGTCCAAGATAAAGTAGAATTGTCTTCTAAGTGATCAGTCTTGCGTTAAATTCGTCTATTGATAACAGCAACCTTATTTCTCATTATTATTAAAGTAGAACTGTTAAAACAAGGGGTTTCAGTGCGTAATCATGTGATATGTATGGTATGGTTCATCAGCTATACAGTACCTGTATTTTATTTACGTAGTTATTTAGTTTAAGTTTGTAGTAGCCCACGATATAATTTTGAACACGTGGGAAGTGTCTAATTTGTTGGTTGGAGGCATGTTAATCAATTAATATTATATGCGGTCACGGATGGTCCGTGTGAGGACCCAACCGAAGTCCGAAATCATGTAAATTGGGGTATTCTTATGTTTAAATAACAATACCGCGATTTACATGATTTCAAATACCCTTGAAAAAGGGTACCCTATGACCATTGGCCTTTTTCAGGGGTATTCTTGAAAAAGACCAATGGTCATAGAGTCGTATGGTTAAATCAAATAAAATAAAATAAAATAAATAATAACGATAGATTAAATATGAGAGGGAGAGGAAAATCCCTTGATCTAAACAACGCGGCACAAAATGCAGACAACAAGTCTCGGATGACTCCAACACGTTTTAAACGAAGTGTCAATGTCAGAATGAAAAGTTATAACTCAGAGACAAGTGGTCATATATAGGTAGAACTTTGACGCAAGCGCTCATAAACAATCAATCTAGGGAAACCATTTTGGAAAAGAGGGAAAGATTTAAAAGAGATAAATCATTGCGTATGATCATTCGAGTACCCAGATGACAGATATCACGAGTAACGGAGATAAATTATGAGCGCAAGTCTTGCAATTTTGTCAACAATCCCCAAGAAAAATCGACAGAAAGGCGTCGAGCGGACACCTGGAATCGGACCCTTCCCGTGACCCGAGTCGGTCTCGGTTTTCCCCAAAACAAAAGAGAGACCAATCGGGAAGCCAGGAAGGGGACAAAGGACCAATCAGAAGTCCGAATAGTGGGAGAAAAACTATAAAAATTCGAAATTCAAGGTCGGAAGGGATCTCCTCTGTATTCCACGAAAGGTCGTGACTTATATTGTGGTGTGTCGTCGCCAAGAACTTTGGACTCCGCCGCTTCTTCCTTCCGATCGTCCGCCTTGCTCAACGACCTCATCTCGTTTGCCCCGGGGCCAGACAGACGCCGAAGTTCTCGCCTCTCCGCCTCTTCGACGAGAAGAACCTAGTGAAGGACTGTCGATTGTCGATGTAAGCATAAATGTTAACAAATAAATGGCTTTCTTGTGTAGAACACTTGTCATCATTTGCCTCCTCCGTCACAGCCCACATACAATCTTCCCTTACGTTCATCCTGACGCGGGATTAACTAATCCCACCTAAAAAAGGCAACTTTACACAGGTGCCGTGAAGTGAGTTTTCAAGTCCCCTATCTCCACCGGGTCGGCTACCTTATATCTGGAAAACAATTAATCTTGCAAGGCTTTGAAATGAATGGTGTCGGAAATTCGGTGGTGTACTTATATTAGTTTGACTATTTTATAAAATGATAAATATCAAATAAATCAGTAAAATAAAATTGGAATTCTGAGTTTTATCAGATCTACCGTTGGATAAATTCCATTAATTATTATAATTTTTTACGCCCCACGAGTAACTACATAGTGCCTGTTAAACGTTGCAATGAACACGTAATTTATATTTTATGTACAATAGAAATTAATTAATTAAATGCAATTCTATTCATTCATATTGCAGATCTCAAACGTGAGATGTTTTTTGGCATTTTTAAAGATTGCATGATAGATATATTGTCAGTTGTTTCCAGCGAAGTGGCATGGCTCTGAAGACTGTATATCGCGAGAAGCTATAGCGTTTTGTGACACCTCGCTAATTGCACGTTTTTAAAAATTTATATTGGTAGAGGAGAAGGTGGTATTATGGAACCCCAATTACATTTTAGTGAATTGTAAACAAGGTATCATAACTACCCCCACATTTTTTGTGCGAAAAGTACTGGTAACTAGTAATCTAAATGTTCCTAATTGGATTTTTCGCTAGTGTAACTATAAGTATGGTTTTTGAAAACGTATGTACAAAAAGTCCGAAAGTAGGCTTAGAGAAAATCGGGTGGTAATATGGAATCTTACTGTATATTTTCAAAAAATGCTTTAATGTAGCCAAAAACAAACAGGAAAGGACAAAAAATGTTAAATAATTACCAAATTATTTACTCCAATGTATTTTATCGAATGAATGCTTTTATAATAGAAAAATATGACCTCCATCAACAATATATATTCCAGCAGCTCTTTTTCGATATTCTCAGGAAGAATTGGCTTTCTACCTAGTGTCCTTTTCACAAATTGCTCTGGAAGAATGTCTGATTGCAAAGAGAGAGTTCGGAGGAGTCGAGTTCCATATTACTGTAAAAGCACCTATGGGGTCCGTATTTCACGCATCGCCATCTTGAATTAAGTTATGTCTGTCAAGACAAAAATTTAAAAAACGTGAACATCACACAGATTAATATGTACCCCTAAGCCTCTGGAACGGAATACATGCACCAGTGAACCTACAACTACACGATTTATATTTTAAAAATAATTAAATTCACTTAGCATTCAAAACTTGCGAAGTTTGAAAAATACAAATTTGCTGATTAAATGCGGACAACCGTTTAACTGAAGTAAAACGGGTTTTCTCCTTGCTATGGATGTCTGCCTAGTTGAGTTCAGCCACATTCCGCTACAGTTCGCCTTTATTATCAGTTCGAAATGGGGTGGTTCCATAATATCCGCAGTGTTCCATAATACTACCTTCTCCTCTACAGTGAACCAGATCTTCCGTTTCAAGATCGGAACTGTACGAGAGAATTTATCACCCATATAACTATTGCAATTTATTTTCTTATGTAGAGACAATCTATTCAATGAAATAATTTATTTTATTTGTTAATTTTTTCGATTTCGCCGCTTAAAATCCTATTCAAATATTTAATAAAAGTTATATCAAAAATATTTTTTATGAACTAAAATCAAATGGATAGAATTTTTCAGGAATACAGTGGAGCCTTGGCATACGACCTTAATCCGTTCCTGGTGTTTGGATTTATACCGAATTGGACGTATATCAAACCAACCTTTCCCATAAGAAGTAATGTAAAAATGATTAATCCATTGTCATGTAAAAAACTGGCTGGCTTTAAAGACTTCGCTTTCCTGGCTAGTTCCTGCTTGATTTTTCATGAGATCAGCGAGTATATTTTTAGCTTTCTCGCAAATAATCGCTTCCGATACGCTGTCGCCAGCACACTGTTTTTCAGTTATCCAAAGCAAAAGCAATTTCTCGTCACAATCTAATATCTTCGACCTCTGTTTATAAATTGTTTTAACAATTAACTGCTGTATTTTCGATCAATTTTTAATTTTAACGTAATTAAACATAAAAAGTACTTAAAACTGAAAAAAACAAAAGAAATGAGTTAATTTTGAAGAGAAAACTTTAAAGTTTATCTTCCATTGTCTGGCCTTTCTGCAAAACTGATGCCCATGAGTAATTGTGTTTACAGCTGGATGACTTTGAGAACAGCTGATATAGTCTTTCCCCGAGCATTCTCATAAAATTCTCAGGAAAAAAATGGTTTAAAGTGGAGTGAATACTGGCTGGCCGTATATTTT